CACTGACAGCCGCCGTAATAACTCATCTTATTTATAAAACGACTCTGCTAACCCTCTCTCTATCCAGGTGTAAACACAGAGATGTCTTAGCTTTGGGGGTAGGCCAAAAGCACCCTGATCTCGTTAGCTTCTGAAGATCCATGACTCCTTTGGGCCACTTTTCCATTGCTCAATTTCCAGGTAGTTTTCATTGATCCCTGGGTATCGCATTCCCACAATAGCAAGCACAAGGTCTCTCCACCACTTGGTTTTTGACTGAAGAGGAAATAGAGGAACATGCTGAATTTGTGATTTCTGGTGTCACCTGTATTACCAAAAATTAAAATCTTGATCAGATAGTTAAATATATTTTTAATATTTGGAGGATGAGTTGTCACTTCCTCATTTCCTTTTTTATAAGGAAATGTTGGAGAGTTACACCATTGCTAATGTAGAAACGTGAAATGAAAAAACATACAATTTGCTAAAATATTTCAAATTTATCTGTGGGTTTTTTCCCCTCTTTTCTTTCCACAGCACTTTTGATAACAAACAAGTGGCTTCCTTTTTTGAGTTATTAAAAAGAGAAAAGAAAAAAACAAATGAAGCCTGACTACCTAACTCTTCTTTATTTGTATTTGTTTTAGTATTGTGAAGTTGTGTTAAATAGTATTAGCTTCCTAAGAAATATTGATTTCCGGTTCTCATTTATCCTCCCTGTGGCACTTGACATTTTAATTGTCTTAAATTTTTTGGTGTACATCTTCTGGCCCGAGTGCTGCCAGAGGCAAAATATGTTTGTTTAATCCATTCCATTTGCATTGTCTCCTGGGATCCCGTCTGCAGCCTGAGGCTGGCTGGGAATTGGACTTGAGAAGACTGGCTTGAGTTAGATCCAGAATCATGTGTGATCCCATCGTGAGTTTATTGGAATTTGTGTTGCATGTAAGGCAATCTTTTCCTGTTGTAAATCTTCCTTTTTTTATGTACATATATTTTGAAAAATATGAATAAACATGGAATTTTAAAAGCTGCTGAACTGTAGCTTGTATTTAAAAGTTTCTAGAATTCCTCAGAAGTAGTGTTTTACTCACATTGAGCCTTCTCTGCTCCTTGTACTAGCTGTCATCCATTTTCCTTTTTAAATACCAGCTCCAACAAGGTCCAGTTTATTTACTTTTTTGAATTTTTAAATGGATGGTGAATGTTTTTAGTACATTGAACCTGATTATTCAGTGCATAAGGGATTTTTAAAAATCTCTTTGTATTTTAACAAAATCGTTGTTTTCAAGGTCATAAATTCCAGTTTTTCATGTTTAGTGTTCATATATGTCCCTGAACTAGAAAAAAACACAGCATTGCAAAAAGATTGATAAATCCTCGGCCTACTTCTAGTAAATAATCTAATTTTCTGTTATGCTTTTTAGCAGGTAATAATTTTTTTTTAATATTTTTATTTTAAATCATTTATTTATTTGGGTCTTAGTTGCAACATGTGGGATTTAGTTCCCCGACCAGGGATCAAACCCAGGCCCCCTAGATTGAGAGCTCAAGTCTTAACCACTAAACCACCAGGGAAGTCCAATAATTCTTAATATTATAGTTGTTATAATACTTCCTGTGCTAAGAATTCTCTACTCTTTTGGAATCAGAAGTGAGGGTTTTGGTTGGTTTCTGTATTTTGTTGTAAAGAGACTGCCTGAAACATTCATCTGGTGGCTATGTTGTATATCAGGCACTCGCGTAGAGTGAGACATTGAGATCGTTTCAGGTCCCTTTCCACCCTGACATTCTGTTAAATTCATAGAATTCAGGTGAAGACAGACCTGTCCTTGATTTCAGCATCATGTAAAGGGAAGAGACAAGAGGGCCCTTGCACTGTTCCAGGGAAAATCCCCCGCTGTCAGAGATGCGTACCTTCCTGATGTTGAGATAAAGGGATGTTTGGGTTTTTGCCCTCCCAGACATTCTCAAGGAGGAGAAGGCACAGTTTTTGCTTCCATGTTACAGAAAGGTAAACAGCAAACCAAACCCAAGAGAGAACCCAACAGTTCCTGGCCCGGATCAGTGGCTTCAGTACTGTGAGTGGCTTTTAGTGAGCTCAGATGCAGTGTTTCACATGTCCTTCAACCAATTACAGACAGCCTTTGATAGGTGAATCTCAGAAGGTGCTGGGAGAGAGTGTTGGCTTCCTAAAGCTCAAATGAGAAAGAAGAGATACCACTTCAGAGAACGGTGGAGACATATTTTTAAAATTATGACAAGCTTTCAACACAGGGAGAACTCCATCCTAACTATTCATGCAGATTTAACTAAGGGAAGCCTGATCCAGTCCTGTCTGTTGGCTATAACTAATGGGAAATCACATGAAAACAAGGGCTAGGTAATATGCCTGTACCTTGGACATTTTTTATTTCCGTCATTCCTCTTTTGTAAAATTTTGTCAGCCCAGTCTAGGCTTGCTAACCTGTCCTTATACCTAAGAAGTTATTCTTGCTCAACCTGAGGTACTTTGCCATCCTAAACTGTCAGGGGAAAGAGGGTAAGCCAGCTTTATTCATGAACTGTTGTACTTGGCTAACTAAACACCAGCTAAAAGAACCTTTAATCCAAAAACTTAAAATTATAGTTGAAGCTTTTCGTTTTTGGAACCTGATGAATGATATTTCTTTTTCTTTGGGTCAAGCAAAAATTCGTATTTTATCCATGAAGAGAAATTCTATTTTTTTTAAGAGGTAGATTTTTTCTTTAATTAATTTTATGTGTTATTTATTTAGCTGTGCCAGGTCTTAGTCACAGTATGCAGGACCTTCAATCCTTGTTGCGGTACACAGGATCTTGAGTTGTGGCATGTGAACTCCCAAGTTGCTGCATGTGGGATCTAGTTCCCTGACCAGGGATTGAACCTAGGCCCATTGCATTGGGAGCATGGAGTCTTAGCCACTGGACCACCAGGGAAGACCCAGAAATTCAGTTCTTAATTGTGTAAAGATCATTCATTATTTTCCCCAGAGGTTCTGACTGACATTTCTGTTCCCAACGTGTAGAGTTGCTTTTGCATTTTTGCAATAGAACAGATGGTACTCAGTTCCGCGGAGCTGAAGCTAGAGAACTGGAACTGTTGAAGCTCTGGGCCTGGGACCTGCTTGACGGATGCATGCTCAGAAGCCCGGGGAGAGGCTGGGTGGCACCCCTCTACTGCGCTGTTCTTGAAGAAACTGATCCCTGCCGTTTTTATTACTGTGTTCTTGCCTTCTGTCATTTTCCACAAGATTCTTAACTTCAATGGCTTTTTTTCTGTTGCAGGAATTATCTGCCTTTGGCTACTTAAGTGTATTAGCTTAGTTTTAACTTTCTGTTAATAGTTTTGTCAACAACTGGTATGTCAAAGGAGGTTTCTAAAGGTAACCTTCACAAACTATTTTCCTCCAAAAATGGCAGCTCTTTCTGTTGATACTGGATGTAAATGTGTAATTAACACCATTTGCTGTTAAATCTGGAATCCCGTAGATGGAGGAGCCTGGTGGGCTGCAGTTCATGGGATCGCTAAGAGTCGGACACGACTGAGCGACTTCACTTTCACTTTTCACTTTCATGCATTGGAGAAGGAAATGGCAACCCACTCCAGTGTTCTTGCCTGGAGAATCCCAGGAACGGGGGAGCCTGGTGGGCTGCCGCCTATGGGGTCAGACACGACTGAAGTGACTTAGCAGCAGCAGCAGCTGTTAAATCTTTGCTTATTAGCTGAGTGCTTTCTCTTTGGTGCCTTGAATATGTTTGACAGCGTGTCATTATTCGACTTGTTACTTAATAATAGTGACAATCATTCTGTTCAGTTCAGTCGCTCAGTTGTATCTGACTCTGCAATCCTATGAACTGCAGCAAGCCAGGCTCCCCTGTCCATCACCAACTCCCAGAGTTCACCCAAACTCATGTCCATCGCATCAGTGATGCCACCAACCACCTCATCCTGTTTTGTCCCCTTCTCCTCCTGCCTTCAATCTTTCCCAACATCAGGGTCTTTTCCAGTAAGTCAGTTCTTCATATCAGGTGGCCAAAGTATAGGAGTTTCAGTACTTCAGTCCTTCCAATGAATATTCAGGACTGATTTCCTTTAGAATTGACTGGTTGGATCTCCTTGCAGTCCAAGGGATTCTCAAGAGTCTTCTCCAACACCAGAGTTCAAAATCATCAATTCTTTGGTGCTCAGCTTTCTTTATAGTCCAACTGTCACATCCATACATGACTACTGGAAAAACCACAGCCTTGACTATACAGACTTTTGTTGGTAAAGTAATGTCTCTGGTTTTTAATATGCTGTCTAGGTTGGTCATAGCTTTTCTTCTAAGGCGCAAGCATCTTTTAATTTCATGGCTGCAATCACCATCTGCAGTGATTTTGGAGCCCCAAAACAAAGTCTGTCACTGTTTTCATTGTTTCCCCATCTATTTGCCATGAAGTGATGGGACCAGATGCCATGATCTTGGTTTTCTGAATGTTGAGTTTTAAGCCAACTTTTTCACTCTCACTTTCATCAAGAGGCTCTTTAGTTGTTTGCTTTCTACCATAAGGGTGGTGTCATCTGCATATCTGAGGTTATTGATATTTCTGGCAATCTTGATTCCAGCTTGTGCTTCATCCAGCCCAGCATTTTGCATCATGTACTTTGCATATAAGTTAAATAAGCAGGGTGACAATACACAACCTTGATGTACTCCTTTCCCGATTTGAAACCAGTCTGTTATTCCATGTCCAGTTCTAACTTGCTTCTTGACCTGCATACAGATTTCTCAGGTGACAGTCATAGCTAACACTGAATTTTTTCTACATATCAGGCTCTGTACATATATTAACTTCATTTAACCCTAGCAATCCTGTGAGATGGTCCCTGTTTACTATTCCCATTTTGCAGAAGAGAAAGCTGACGCAGAATGAGGCTCACAAGTTACCCCAGGACACAGAGGCAAAGCCAGAACTGCACCCAGGCCCTGTGAGTGCAGAGCCGTCTCCCACTGCTCTCCACCGCCTCTCTGACCACTGTTCAAGCTTCTGAATCCTCCCCTTATCTCACAGCCCAGTGAGTGCAGGGGATTTGGAAATGAGATGAAATTACTCAATTTGCCAGTAGGAGTCTGTGTGACTTTTAAGTTTGGTAAGAACTATTCAAATTAAATCTTGGATTACTGGAAAATTTTAGCTAGGCTGTCCTAAGGCAGTTTTTTTATTTGTTTTTGTTTTGTTTTTCTCCTAGGACATTGCAAGCACTTGGTCACTCTCAGATCCTAGCCATGGGACTCTTTCTGGTCCTCACAGTTTACTTATCCCAGGCAGATTCTACTGACACTTATGAGAGCTTTTCCTCCAAGAACCACAGCTTCTATCAGAACTTTTTTTTAATTAGAACTTTTATGTTGCTAAGTGTGAGCAGTGCTCTCACCCCTTACAAACTATGCACTTGTGTTCTATGAGGCCTACCAAGAGAAATTCCAGAAAGGGGCTTGTCTGACAACTGCATTTTTTGGACATGATACCAGCTTAGTAGTCATGAACTGGAATATTAGAAATTCTTGCTCTTGATTCTGAAAGAAACCTTACTCATCCGGTCTCTCTTGCTCTGTCTGCTTTGTTCGCCCAATTCCAACAGATACTATCTTCCTTAAAACCCAGAGTTACACAGCATCCTTGCTCATCCATTTTACTGTTCGAGAACTTTTGCTCTGATGAAATTCTCGTGTCAAACCTAAATCCTTTATGTTGTTTGCATAACTTAAATTTGCCGGTTCAGTCTATAGACAAGACATTAATTTCAAACTGGATTTGACTCCTGGTTAGAGTGTATCACTCAGCCTAGCATCCTAAGAACATGCATAGCTCTGGTCTTTGGGGGCTGTGTCCCTTAACCAGCTGTGTGACCTTGGCCAAGACAAGCTTCCTGAGCTTAATTTCCTCCCATAAGATAGGTTCAGGTGCACAATTCTTGGTGTTTTATTAGAATAGCCACCCAAAGGCAGTGTGAGATTATCAAGTATCAAATACTGAACCATATTCACTAAGGTTACTAAGACATTTTAGGATTTTAGGAGACTGGTTTTTTTTCTTTTAATAGACAAAATCCAGTTTCACGAGTTCAGCTTTGTTGTTTACCATTCATGGTAGGTTCCTGTTGTTAGACCTATCAATCACACTACCTCAGATGCTTAGAGATATATTCTCAAAGTATGTGAAAGTATGCCCAACTTTCAGAAACAGATTTTGGTTCATTTCTCCTGATTAAACAAGTAACAAGTGGTGGAAGTGGACACAAACCAAGTCATAGTAGACTTGACCAGTCACCTTGCCTTCACACTTTCCTTAGCAGGTTTATACTCTGGCAGCTCAGGAAGCAAGATGTCTGGCAACAAGTTACAAGATGGACATGCCATAAATGGCAGTGGTGAACAGATTTTTTTCCAATTAGGTTTACAAACCTCTAGGAGCTTACTTGTTTAAAAAAAAAGAAAAAGAAAAACGTACAGCTTTTGAGCTACCAGGGCTGCAGGTGATGCCAGGGAGCAGAAGAGAAGTGCAGTCTGCTGGGTAAGAGAAGGAAGTCCTTCCTAGACCAGGGTCAGCATCACATGCCACCTGGGCCAAACCTGGGGCCTCAGCTGGCGGTGGGTGGAGAGAGGGGCTGCAGGGGAGACCAGCTACTCACTGTGCAATCCTTTTAAGGGTTTCTGCTAAGTGTTATTACCAGTTTGTTTTCAACATAGATGGGGCTTTGGAGAGTATTCGATATATCCTGCTTTCTTTGCTTTCTGAAGCGCATCCCTCGACTCTGGGACGAGAGAGTCTCACAAGTGTTTCTAGGGAGGAGTCCTCTTTAGACTTGTACTTCTCAGGTGGAAAAGTACTTGGAACTATTCCTTGTTCCCTGTTTCTCAAATGGGGTACAGGTAGCAACAAGACTAAATACCTATTTCTGGGGCATTCTTTTTATCTCCAGAGTATTCCTGGGAGTGCTTTATGTTACTGGTAATAAAACAAGTGGAAGGAAGTACAAAGTCCATAGTAGTCACTTCAGATACAGGATTACCTGGAACTAGAGCAGCAGTGGCACTTAGCCTCTACCAGGTGGTCCCCAGGGAGTGCCCGGTCCCTCTGCTCCAAAAACACAAAAGCACCACCCTAACTGTGGCTGAGAGGGTGAGTGGAGGTGCCTGCAATCTGTGCCCCTTTGGAAGTAAAAGAGTGCAACCTCAGGCCAGCCGTGGAAACTTCTAGTTCTCAACTGGAAAGGAGAGAGTTGAATTAGATAACATTTCTCTGATCCTGGAACCTCCACGATCCCTGCCACCCAGAAAATACCAGAAGGAGGAATCTGGCCATAGAGTGCTGTGGTCTGGATCGCTTTGCAATTGGATGAAAAGGAGTCTTATTTTAATCACTGTGTTAGTCTGCTTGAGCCATAACAAAACACCACAGCCCAGATCACGTAAACAACAGCTATTTAATTTGTCAGCTGTGGAGTCTCCAAGTCCAGAATCAAAGCGTCAGCAGGTTAGTTCCTTCCAACGAGAGAGGGAAGGATCTGTTCCAGGCCCCTCTCCTTGGCTCTTGGACGGCTGTCTCCTCCCTGCCAGCACATTGTCTTTCCTCTCTGTCCAGATACCCTCTTCTTAAAAGGACACCAGTCATATGGGATCAGTGCCCACCCTGGAAACCTCTTTTTTTTTTTTTTTTATGAGGAGGGGGGCTGTTTTAGTTCCACGACCAGGGATTGAACCTGTGCCCCCTGCATTGGAAGCACAAGGTCTTAACCACTGGACCACCAGGGACGTCCCCTAATAACCTCATTTTAATGTAATTACCTCTTTACACACCCTAGCTCTAAATCCGGTCATACGCTTAGGTTAGATACCAGGTGTTAGCACTTCAACATGTTAACTTGGAGAGAGGGGACACAATTCAGCCCATAACATCTCAGAATTAAACAGAACTCTGCTCTAGGTCACTCGGGGGGAGGCACAGTGAGTTGCAGGGACAGCCACTGGGAGACGCCTGAGAGGAGAGCACGGTGCTCAAGGCTGAAAGTGGCTGCCAGTATGGGAAGGTGTTCCTGAGGAGACGTGGAAACGCGCGCTGTAAAACCAGATGTGTGTGAGATGCTGAGCCAGGGCCTGTCCAAGCTCACCATCTTGGCTCCCATTTGAGTCCTGCTGTTGGAGACGGGCTTGCAAATGATGTGATGTTACTTCCCACACACATTCATCAGCTAGCAACTCCAGTACCAGATTTCTGGGATTTTTAGTGAACAGAGAAGATTGTGATAGCAAGCTGACACCTGGCGAGGCTTTGTCGTTGTCGCTGACTCATCAGGAAATGCCAAGACGGGGCGTGCGCCCTCGCGTGTTCAGGAATCACAGCCCCACCACCTTGCCTGCGTTGTCATCCCCTCCCGTGCTTTGTGTAGATGACTTCTCTGGTCTTCCTGCGAAATGACTCATTTGTCTGCCAGCTGAGGTTCTCTCCCTGATGACTCCCAAGACGTGCTGTCGTGAATGTAGGATTGGATACCTGAGGCAGATAATTATGCGGTGGTGGCCATTTCATGCTGCCCTGAATGGACTAGCTTGGCTCGCCCAGGAGATGGCTGGCTCCTGCTGACACTTGTTTTCCTTGATGTAAACCTCTGAGCTGATATATCTATTGTAGCTTTACTAAGGCTACATGCATGGTAGAAGATCACAGTTTCTGTGCTTTGGGTGGAGCCAAGTCCACTGAATTTGGTAACCTGAAGACCAGCTCAGATGGGCAGTTACATTACTCTGATACACAAATAAAAATGAAGACGTGAACTTGCAATCCATAAAATGCACTTGGTTTTGAAACATATTCCTGAGTGAAGGAATAAGTGAAGACCAATAAGAGGAGGATCCTTGGTGGTCACAAAGTCAGGAGTCAATGTCACATACATTTCCCACACATGTATCTTCCCAGATCTGATTTTTGTAGTAAATCTGTGTCTCTGGGACCTACCGCAGTGCCTGCCACTCAGACCTTCACCCTCTGTCCCCTTCTGAGCAAGATTTAGAAGGCAAAACTGCCCCTCTGGTTTTAACGGCTTCACCATCTGAATTTAATTCTTTGGTCTTCTTTTCATTTTGACCTAAAACAAATTCCTGTCACTTCTTTTTTTTTTTTAATTGTAGGCAGCAGGATGAATTGTGTGTCTCCAGAATTTGTTAGAGTCAGTAATTAATACTGTTTCTCCTGTTTTCTCTGAAGTGTCTCAAAATGGGGACTGTGGTCTAGTAATTGGCAAGTCCTCTATTTAAAATTTACATGCCTTTTAAGAAAGCTTGTAAGAATTAACCCTTTATTCATCCTTCGTGTACTCTGAGTTTCATAAATTGGGATTTCTGGAAAGCAGGACCAAACTGTAAACCATCTTGATGCTTCTCATCAATGGGTTCAAGGCTGTCACATGACCTCCGTGAAGTGTTTTCCAGAGCACTTAGCATCTGCCCTTCAATCACATGGAAAAGAAACTCAAGAGTAACAGCACTAATACCCACTGAGCACTTCACTCACGTGGGTCAGCTAGGGTGCTGAGCAGTTTGCCCACATTACCGTATGGGATGAGACGGCTGGATGGCATCACTGACTCAGTGGACATGAGTTTGAGTAAGCTCCGGGAGGTGGTGATGGACAGGGAGGCTTGGCGTGCTGCAGTCCATGGGGTCGCAAAGAGTTGGACATGACTGAGCGACTGAGCTGAACTGAGTGCATGGGAATCCTCATGTCCCTAGGAGTCAGGTGTTAGTAAAACTTCCAGATGAGGTGCTAGAAGATTAAAGTGATTCAGGTCCCACATCTGTGCAGTCAGAGGAAGTGTCCAGATTTGGGACCAAGTCTCAGCACCACACCTCACCACTGCCCTTCTTGGAAAGGCATCCGGAAGCTTTGGGGAGATGAAGCGATGCCCAGCAGGCCCTCAGGGCTCACGCCCCCCTCTTCCCCCACTCCCCTGAGGCAGTCAGACCTCAGCAGTGCCCACCCACCTCCCTCGGGGTGCCCGCCTGCCCTTGCCGCCCATGCTTTCCTGCCATGTGGCAGCTGCTGGCGTTACCTCTACAGAATTCAGACGTCATACATGCCAAAGACTGGGCTGAACCGGGCTTGCTATTTATTTCTGTGGCACCTACAAGGTCTGTTAGAGGAGGAAATAGTAACCCACTCCAATATTCTTGCCTGGAGCACCCCATGGACAAAGGAACCTGGGGGGCTGTCCCGAAACAGTCGGAACAGAGGGAAGCGACTTAGCACAGGGTCTGTGCTGACACTTCGGGCTGAATTTGCTCACCCCATCTCAGTGGATTTTCATGTAACCCAAAGGACAAGGTCATGGCCCCCCTGCAGAGCTAACTGCCCAGATTTCTTGGAGCCGCCTGGGCAGGGTCAGTTAAATCTCTTACAAGGAAAGCCGGCAGGAGGAGGGCGAGGAAAGGGCTGTCCCACACCTCCCACCCCTCTGGGGCTGAGGGAACCGGGGCTGAGGGAACCAGAGCTGAGGCTGGCCGGGGGTGGGGGTGGGGGATTCCCAGAGGCCGGATCGTGACGCCTTCTTCATTCACTCAAGACGACAAGCCCGGAACGCCTACTGCGGGCCAGCGGATGCCTGCGCACTGGGGAGAGAGGCGCCTCCGGGCCGGGGCCGAGGGCCCTCTAGTAAGATGGGTTAGTTATGCTGACAGGAGTGGCAAGAGCTTTAAGGAGGTGAGGTCACCGGTGGTGGTCAGGGAAGGCTTCCCAGAGGAGGTGTTGCCGCAGCCGCCGCCGAGATGACGAAAAGGAGCTATAGCCGGGGGTGGGGGTGTGGAGGGTTGGGGGGTCTGGAGGAGAAAGACGCCCTAGGAGGGGGGAACCATCGGCGAGGCCCCTAGCACTCAAAACCCCCCAACCCGCCCGAAAAGAGGCGTCCTGAGCAGCGGTGAGCGGCCCCCGGTTCTCGCTTTAAAGGCGGAGCACCG